ATATGGTATAATCTTATGGGACTACTGTTGTATATATGGCCTGTCATCAAAATGTCATTATGTGACCAATGTCTCAACGATAACTTCTGGAGGCTTTGGTAACTGGTAGCGTAAGCCCTCTTAACTTTATTTTTTCAGCATTGCCTTTGTTGTTCTTGGTCTTTTACATTGCTATGTAAAATTTAGACTTGCCTTGTTAATTTCCTGAAGTAGCTCTGCAGAGATTTTACTCTTTAAAATCATATCAAATCTACAGATCAATCTGGCTAAAATTGACACCTTAACAATTGCGAACCCACTGGGTGTGTGGGTGTGTGTGTGTGCGTGTGTGCCCAAAAACTCCTGAGAAGAGAATGGAGAAGGGATTGAGGTGTGGCCATCCCCCCAAGGGGTGATTTCTTGCTTTCTGTCTCTGTGTCTCTCTTTATCTCTCTGGAGAGCAAATGTACCCTATAGCAAAAACTCTCTCTTAAAAACAAAATGAAGCAAAAGAAAAAATAAAAACAATTGTGCATCTTCCAATTATGAACAGGGCATATTATTTCATTCATTTTGCTTTTTAAAAATTTCTGTTACATTTTGTAATTTTTAGTGTGGCGATCTTACAGTTTCCATTCAACAGAACTAAAAGAACTAAATAGTTGACATTTCTTGATACCATTACCAATCATATCTTTGAAAATTTTCATTTTGTTTCTTTATTGTTAACACACAGAAATACAATTGGTGTTTATGTATATACCTTGTATCTAGTGGCTTTACTCTATTCAATTATTGATTTAAATTGTAGATTCTGTGGACTCACTATGGATACAGCCACATCACCTGAGAAACAACAGTTTGTTTTCAAATCTTGCCTTATTGAATTTGCTATTTGAAGTTATTTTAAATTGGACTGTTTTCCTAATTTCTGTTTTGGGTTGTCCTGTAACCTTGCTAAATTTATTTATTAGTTCTAACTTTTTCAATGTGAGTATGTGTAATCTTTTGATTTTTTTGTGCATTTTCTACATATAAAGTATGTCATTTGTGAATAGAGTCAACCTCTTTAATGGTATGGGATTATTCGGAGTTTGTGTTTCTTTTGGAATCCTTTTTATTTTTAATAGAGAGATGTTTGCTCTAGGGCACGTGTACTCACTGGAGAGACAGAGAGAAACAGAGAGACAGAAAGTGAAAACTCACCCACCCAGGGGGGATGGCCACACCACAATCCCTTCTCCTCTTGGGATTGTGGGCAAGCACTCACATGCACCTAGCGTAAGCTTTAAACCACTGGGTCCAGGTCCAAGACTCGAACCACAGACAACTACATGGGAGCCTAGCAATGTAACCATTATGCCATTTACTGGTCCCTCTAAATTATTTTTGGAAAATTGAAGTTTTCAAGGGATTTGTCTATTTTGCCCAAATTGTAGAGTTCCTTGGCAAAATTGTTTATAGCATCTTCTTTTTAAATGTTTTTAGGATCTTTTATGATGTTCTCTGCTTCATTTTAATATTATTTTTGCTTCCATTTATTTTTATTTGTTGGTCAATAAAGTTTAACAATTTAGTCTTTTAATAAAAAGCTCCTCATGTCTTTGATGATTTCTTTATAGTGCATTTGTTTTCTGTTTTCCTGGTTTGTTCTCCTATTATTTCTATTCTTCCTCTTATTTTGGGTTTCATTTGTCATTCTTTTTCTATTGTCATTAGATGGAAGCTTGGATATTTGATAATCACTCCTTCATTTCTTTCTAATATATGTATTTAAGCTTTAAATTTCCATTTAGGCACAGCTTTAGCTGTATCTCACAGATTTTAAAAATTATTTCATTTATCTTTATTTATTTATATTTATTTTAAATTTGACCAGAGAGGGACAGAGAGAGAGAGAAAGCAAGCTGCCAGGTCCAGGACCTGAACCGTGGTCGGTCACGTGAGAGTCCAGCGCTCCCAACCACCAAGTCACCTGCAGGCCCTGCTGTATCTTACAAATTTTGTATGTCATAAATTCATCATTGCTCACTTGAAAATAGTTTCACATACTATAGCATTTCTTCACTGACTCATAGGTTATTTAGAAGTGTATTATATTACTTATGTTCTTGATTTGATTTTTACACATTGCACCCATGCTTTTAAAAAAACACATTGTACCTAATGAAGATGTGCAACAACTAAATGTAAATAAGAAATTATGAAATAAGAAAGAAGTGTATTATTTAATTTCCAAGCAGCTTGGGACCAGCAGGTAGCATAATGGTTACATCACTGGACTCCCACATAGTTGACTGTAGTTCGTGTCCCAGACCCGGTGGCTTAAAATTTACGCCAGGTACCTGTGTTTACGTGTCCAAGATCCCGAGAGGAGAAGGGATTGTGAGTGGCCATCCCTCTGGGGGATGATTTCTCGCTTTTTGTCTCTATCTCTCCAGTGAGTGCACATGCCCTACAGCAAAAATCTCTCTAAGAAAAACAAACAAACAAACAAATGTGCAAGCAGCTTAATTCTACTGTTGTCAGCCAAAGTGCTCAGAAATGTTTTAATCTTCTAAAACGTGTTAAGTTTGCTTTTTGATCAAACATATAGGCAGTTTTGGTGAATTTCTTACATCTTTTGTTCTACTATTTTTGACTGTGTGTCCTACTTCCAGGAGAAAGAGATGGCACACGTGATTCTAAGGTCCAACTAGAAGTAGTGCTCCTTACTCAGTCTCATGTATTGGTAAGAACGTATTCACATACCCACATTGCCTGGCCTAATGTGAGGGGGCTGGGAAGCCCAGGTCTCTGACAGGGTCATCCCTCTGCTGCAAGCTCTCTTGCAGAAAATAGCTGTATATTACCCACATAGACAGTCTTCTATCTCAGCAATCCCTGCTGAAAAATAAAGTCTTTCTCCATAGCTCTCATAGAAAAAAAAAATCTCAGAGAGAACCAGGCTGGCCCGATGTGCATCAATTTCCTGTTTTACCACTTACTACTGCAAGAAGGATGATGTAGTCCTGCTGGGCCAAGCCTGGGTATTCATTTTCCCGTGCCCATAACGGACAATGCTACTCTCACCAGAGTCGCACAGAATGAGTTTCAAGGGGTAAGTTGAATTCTATTGTCAAGAAAGGGACATAGGAGGGTTGTACAAAAACATAGATGAAGGCAAACAGAAGTTGTGCTTGGCCTGCCCCACAGCGTAGAGGTTCAGCATTGTGTAGACAGAGCCACATGCCACGTGCTTGTCTGTGGTTAGACTCTGGACCCCAGTGACTTGGAAGACATGCCAGTTGTGTATGTCTGGTGAACCCAGGAACCTAACGGTAGGGAAGAGTGGAGGAAGGGGAATCATGTGTGACCACACTACATTGGGAGGGTTCTCTCTTTTTGTCTCTCTGGCATGCATAAGGGTCCTCTGACAAAAAAAAAAGAAAAAGAAAAAAGAAAAAAAGAAAACAAAAAGAAAAATGGTGCTCACCTCAGAATGCAAGAAAAAGGAGAAAAGAACCAGTGTGTTTGGAAATTCAGAGGTGGATGGTGTTCCTGTATGTGGAGTGTCAGAGTGAGAAGCAGCAAGGGGTAGGAGGAGCCAGGGGTGGGAAAGGAAAGAATGAGTGGCAGTAAGAATTTTCTCTAAAGGCGGTCCTGGAAGGATTGAGTGTAAGAAGTCTTCTTGGCAGGTGATCCCAAGAAACATCTGTAGAGGATGTTTCCTTTGAAGCCAATAGGTGTATTGTCAAGTAAGTTACAGCTGTGGATAACCTGTGTTCTACCCTACAGAGAAGCAGACTCAGTGTAGGCCTGCTTGCAGAGGCCCTGGAGGGGAGAGGCGGCCAGGGCATTATCAGCCACTCTTGTCCCTCATGAATGGAGTTCTTAAGCCTTCAGCACTTCATGGCCTGTCCCATTTCTGCCCTGAGCAAGCTCCCTACGGCCAGAGAATGCTTCCAGATGATGGCAGAACTGGGGGTGGGTGTCCCCAAAGTGCAAGTGCCTGCTCCATAGAATACAGGTAAAGAGGGGAGAGAAGAGGGACTTTCACAATATGCTCTGCAGATTCTGTGATCACAGAGAGAACTGGGTGGGAGAGGTCCAAGGGTGTTCTTTCTCTAAAGAAAAGTGGATGCAAGCATGTGACTGATGGGATAATTTAAGAGGGAGTGTAGGAAGTTTGTATGGAATACGACAGTCATTGTCCTCCTCTGTCCTTCCAGTGCACCAAAAATAGTCTTCTAAAAGGATGACAGCCTGGATTTTCAGAAGAGAAAGGCCTTTAAGTAACGATTCCCCCGCCACTCGAAGGGAAAACGAGGCCAGGAGAAGGGAAAGCGACTGGCCCAATGCCGTGAAATGGCAGAGAGGAGTGGGGAGTTCAGGACTCCCAGGGGCCTGCCCTGGACTGTTTCCTTCAGAGGAGTCTAAAGTCCCGTCTCTGGCGGTGCCTCAGCCCGGAGGACTCAGCAGAGCAAAGGAGTCGATCCAAACAAAATCAACAGCTGCAGGAACGCTCCGAGTTGGAGGCCGTTCAGCGGAGAGGACAAGAAACGCATCTTCCCTTGGACACAGGCGTGTGCCTTAGAACTTTCTGTTTCTATGCAGAGAGCGTCTTTTTGAACTAGGTGGACAACCAGAGCGAGCCCTGAAAGAAGGGGCCTTCTGCTGGCTCCGCCCCCTGGCTGTGGCCCTGGCTGGGAGGAGTCACCCAGTCCCCGGCTCTCTCCACCGCCCATCACAAGTGCGGCAGCTCAAGCCGCGCCCACCCCGCTTACCCCGCGATCCCCCTAAACCCTGAGCAACCGACCTAAGAGAGAGCGGCGGGCGCGCGGGCGCACAGGCGGGTCTGCAGCACGCGGCGGGGGCCGGGCCGCGCGGAATCACGGGGCCGGGGCGGGGCGACGCCGGG